ATGAAAAAGTTCCAGAGTTGCTAAAACTTCAGTTTATGACATTATGTTTATAAAATTTCTGAAAAGTCCTTTTGGAGACTCGAGTATGCTGAAGAAGATGGTGCGGTCCATTTATCGAGGAGGTGTGAGCACCCAGAGGTCTTTCAGGGCCGGGTGGGTGTGACTGTTTACTGCCTACTGGATTTTTTTTCTGTTGACATGGAAGGCAAAAATCTGATTATTTAGCATGAGAAAAAAAAAAAATCCAACTCTGCTTTTGGTCTTGCTTCTATAAATATATAGTGTATACTTGGTGTAGACTTTGCATATATACAAATTTGTAGTATTTTCTTGTTTTGATGTCTAATCTGTATCTATAATGTACCCTAGTAGTCGAACATACTTTTGATTGTACAATTGTACATTTGTATACCTGTAATGTAAATGTGGAGAAGTTTGATCAACATAAACACGTTTTTTGGTAAGAAAAGAGAATTAGCCAGCCCTGTGCATTCAGTGTATATTCTCACCTTTTATGGTTGTAGCCGATAGTGTTGTATATTGTAAATTGTAATTTCAACCAGAAGTAAATTTTTTTCTTTTGAAGGAATAAATGTTCTTTATACAGCCTAGTTAATGTTTAAAAAGAAAAGAATAGCTTGGTTTTATTTGTCAGCTAGTCAGAAAGTAGTAAGATCCTTTCTAAATGTTACCTGGATGATTCAGTTCACCCTAGTGGTTTTTTTTTGTTTTGTTTTGTTTTTTTTTGTTTTGTTTGTTTTTCTTTCAATCCTAAAAAAGTAATGTTTTGCTTATTTTGTGACAGTCAAAAGGATGTGTAAAAGTTGAGCCCTGCCCTAGCTTTCCTCACAATCAGAGCCCCACTCACCTTGTAAAGTGTGAATTGCCCTTCCTTTTTGTACAGAAGATGAACTGTATTTTGCATTTTGTCTACTTGTAAGTGAATGTAACATACTGTCAATTTTCCTTGTTTGAATATAGAATTGTAACACTACACGGTGTACATTTCCAGAGCCTTGTGTATATTTCCAATGAACTTTTTTGCAAGCACACTTGTAACCATATGTGTATAATTAACAAACCTGTGTATGCTTATGCCTGGGCAACTATTTTTTGTAACTCTTGTGTAGATTGTCTCTAAACAATGTGTGATCTTTATTTTGAAAAATACAGAACTTTGGAATCTGAATTTGTGCCTAACTTTAACTCCCCCATAGCCTCTACTCTCCAGTTTCGTCCCAGAACAGCCCCTTACTTGCCTGAGCCCTTTATCTGCTTGTTTTATGAGGGGATAGGAGGGCCGAATTAAGTGTCAAGGAGATGGCTTGCTTATTCTTTTTTTGTTTTGTTTTTTAAGACAAGATTTCACTCTGTATCCCAGGCTGGCCTTGAACTCCTGGTGATCCTCCTGCCTCAGCCTCCTAACTGCTGGAATTATAAGTGTGTGCCGCCACACTTGATGGCCCTAAGCCCAGTTGGACCTAAAGATGTTGGGTTCAGCCTGTCCCTGCTTTTACAATTGAGATTATTTCTGTGAAAACCTTGATTTCCAGCTTCTCTTGGAAGCAATACACACTTCTGTGGGTTGCGCCTGTCTTCTCCAGGCCTGCGCTTGACCCATCCTTAGGGGTGCACCTCCTCTCTTGGCTCTTCTGGCCTGTGGCACTTGAGAGCAAGCCCTGTGGTTTCGTTGGAATCCTCTGAGTTACAGGTGTCTCCAAAGGCCAGACAGTGGGCCAGGTATCTGGACTGCTGCAGCGCCTGCCTTGCCTGCACCTTTGTCCTCTCCTTTCTTGTGTTTTGAGCTGCTTCTGCCTGTGTTCTGCCAGCCCCCTGGCCTGAGCTCTCCCAGGCTCTTACCCCACCCATATTACCGTGATGGGTGACCTCTTCCTGCTTGTAGTGCAGAAGGCTCCTGCTCACCAAGTGCCCCTCATTCTCTTGCCATGTCTTTACAGAAGCAGCTTTGACAAAGACTGTCACTGAAACCTGGGTCCCTGTTGATGGGCTTGGCCAGCAGGGCCAGGTGGGAGGCCACCTGGAGGAAGAAGGGGCTGGAGTGTGCTTGGGCAGCTCAGGGAGAGCATGCCCAGTGGGTTCTTACATCTGTGCCTGCTGTCATGACCCCAAGAGAGTAAGGCCTGAGTGTGTGAGGAGGGCTAGTGTCTGTGAGCTTTGGTACCACAGCAGTTGGGAGGCAGGTGTCCAGTGCCAGCACATGGGGCGTTGGCCTGGTGGTTTTCTGCTTTTCCTGCCTGGTAATGCTGTGCTCTGAGGGTTTTCTTCTTTAGTCTCACAGTATTTGTTCTGTTTTATTTTAGTGGTAACAAAGCAGGGACCTAGGTTAGAAGTGTGATTACTGCCACCCTCTTGTTGCCACCTCTTGTTTCAGGTCTTTGAGGCTTTGGGGAGGCTTCTGAGATTTTTTTTTTCCTGAGGATTAAATTTGATTTCATTCCAACTGCCTTTTTTCATCTGGGTAGTCCTGAAACTCCGTGTCCTTAAAATGGGAAATATTAATAGCTACGTGCAAGACTGGTTGTGAGGATTAAGTTAGGCAAATTTGAACAGTGCCCAACACATAAACCTCTCACCCCATAGACCTTTCTTTAAGCTATATTCCTAACACCTTGTCGTCCCCCCTGCTTTTTTTTTTTTTTTTTTTCTCTTTTTTGAGACTGGGTGTTTGTAGCTCAGTCTCCTTTAACTCACAGTGTAGCCCAGCCTGCCTTGAACTTGTGGCGATCCTCCTGTCGCAGTCTCTCAAGTGCTGGGATTAGAGGCATGTGCCACCACTCCCAGTTCACCTCCTTTGTTTTGTTCAGTCCCTTTTTGGAGATGGGGTGTGTAAGTTGTTAAATTGCCCAGACATGGGGCTGGGGAGACAGCTCAGTAGAATAAGTGCTTGCCTGGCAAGTGTAAGGTCCTGAGTTCAATGCTCCGTACTGCAAAAAAACAAAACAAAAAACAAAAAAAACCCAAAAACTAGATGCATCATATTTTAGGGGCCTGCCGGTTAGTTTAGTTGTTTAAGTGCCTGCTCATTCAAACGCAGTCAGGCACAGGATACCACAGTTTGATCCCCAGCTCCACCTGCTTCACCAGACCCGCCCTTAAGGTGGTCTGAGCCAGCACCACCCCCCCACCACAAAAAATCCTCAAATTTTAGACTGGGTGTGGTGGCATGTACCTGTAATCCTAACTCTTGGGAGGCTGTAAACAGGTGGATCACTAGAGGAGTCCGACCTAGTAGTGAGACCCTGAACACCCTTCTAGACCCTTACCTAAAAATAGTAAAAAATAAAAAAGTAAATTTGCCCAGATAGGGCCTAAATCCTCCTGCGTTAGCCTCCTGAGTAGCTGAGAGAAGAGGTGTGCCGCTTTGTGGGGAGGGCTTTATTTTGATGTTTTCCAGCCAGGGAAGACAAGATACAGACCTGTGCAATGGTTGTGCACAAGTTTTGCTGAAGAAAGCAATCCTTCGTCTTTATGGAAGGAACTCTAGTGTCATTAACTCCAAGCCTATGCTGCCCAGTTTCCATGTTGGCTCCCAACTGTTCTTGTAGCAGCCCTGCCTGCAAGGAAGGTGATGCTCTATTATGGAGATCTGGAACCTGAGATTTTTGGTTTTGGTGCAAGTCTGGGTTGGCTCTGGGTCTATGGCTTCCCCCGAGCTCTTCATGCAAGACCCCTGCCTGCTTCGGGTCCAGGTTCCACTGAGCAGGCTGGGCTCCTCTGGGTTCCGCATGAGGCCACCACTGCTTGCTGCTGCTGCCAGGTCTGCTCTAAGGATGCTCCAAGGGTACCTGGATTCCCGATCTTTTCCATGCTCCTGCCAGAGCATCCCTTATGCAATTACCTGGTCACAGTCTTTGCAGTTTGCAGAGCAATGTTCACATTTATGAATCCATTGGTCCTCGTTGAAAACCCTAGGAAATGTAGCTATTTCAACCCATTGTGCAGGTAAGTTCGAGACCCAAACTTCACGTGAGTTCTTAACCAAGTGATCATTTTTTCTGAGGTCTTCTGGATCCCAGCCCCATGCTCTGTCCACGCCATCTTTTTCTTGGTGCCTCCATCAGCCCCAACAATAGTTGCTTTACCTTTTGGGGGTGTTGCAGAATAATAAAGTCCAGGGAATGAAGCATTTTCAGGGAGGACTTTATGTAGTTACCAGCTTTTTTCCACACGAGGGTGCTGTTGCCTAGAGCGAGCGTTGTGGAGGACCCAGGACACAGAGGTCCATCAAGGCTGGGGTGCTTGCCCCTGGCTTGAGTGGCTCAGAAGCAGTCAGGAGCCCCCCAGAGAGCAGTTTCTGTGGCATCTTCCCTGAAACTGCTTTCTCCTTTCTTCACTCCTTCCTGCCCTAAAGTGTCTTCAGCGCCTAGGGCTGCTGGGCTCTTGTTCTCGCTGGGTAGGAAGATGTGGGCAACTATCTGGCCTCAGCTTTTTTGTTGACTTGCTATGTGACCTCTGGCAAATCTCTGACTTCTGTAAGGCTCAGTTCCCCAACTGTGCCTTGGAATATTAACTTAGGCCAGGCCTGCTGCCCCTTCCGGGCTGGTATGGTTTCCAGTGCTCCTGGGACCACATCTCTGACTTAGGCACCGAGCTTTCAGCCCAAACTCCAGGTCTTCCTGTGACCAACAGCTTCTAATCCCAGCTCCTCCTCACCCTCTGTGGACTTTGTAAATCACAAGCTTTCATCATCCTCTTTTTCTCCAGCTAAAATGGGGTAACAACACTTCTATCGCACAGGTCATGTCGGAAGTCCTTGTTACGGGCCTGTGCCCACCACCACAGATACGGGTTGAGGCTCACATTACTAGTGTCATCCTGCCTCTGATTTTCCTCGTTGTTTGTTCCAGTAGGACTGGTTTGTCCTCCAAACGGGGACACC